GTAAAAAACTAATACAAAGATATAGAGACCTTCTAGAATGGTTGAAGCTGTTGATGCTTTTCGAAATAAAATAAAGTGGAAAAATGGAGGGAGCAAAATAAGAAATGTACGCCTGTGATTTCTGTCGATAAGGAGTTGAAAACTATCTATCGGTTTTAAATACTTTCAGTATCCCTGCTTAAGAACAATTTTTTTTTACTAGTGTACACCTATTTTACAAACATAATAGGTAAGCATTTTAGAAATTGCCGTTTCTAAGTAAATGATACTTGGCATTAAGAAGTAAAGTTGTACGCCTTCAAATGATACTTTCAGATATTTGTCATATTTATTTTTTATTCTATAACAAACAGCGGTACCGATTTTGGCCACATCCTGTAGAAATATTGGGTAATTCCGCCATAGGGCAGCAGTACCACAACTTTGACGTCTTCTCTTCGGAATTTTGAGTCTACATTGCTGACCATACATTTTTGTGAGAAGTGTGTCAAATCTATCATCTCCAATTCTAATAAAAGATAATTGTATTCAATCCGGAAAGCGAAAGTAATTCGACCTGTGCTCTCTGTTCTGGTCATCGCGCTTCGCTCCGAAATGCGATCCAATAAAAATGAAAGGGAAGGTGAGAGTAGAGAGGAGCAGAAGAACCATAAACACATCTTTGTCGTTCAATGAATCACATAAATTTCATCTGCGTGGTTTCTAATGTCCGTGAAAATGTAGCAGCGCGTGACTTATAGCTGTGCTTTTGGACCTTGCTGCAGGTTATAAGTTGTATAACGGAGTGTTACAGCACTCTACGCAACTGATCGTGATTGAAAATGGATCGTTTCCTTCTATACGTGACTTCTGGGAGTTCTGAGACGCTCCTTATGTATTTTTCACTATTTGTGCTATTTATGTTACTTTTATTCCCACAACACTGGCAATCAATACCGTGAGGATCACACAAACACCCTTACCCCTACGTTTCCTGGCTTATAATTGCTAGACATCTGCACTATGTACGTTACAAATAGATTTCGTGTCGCCATCACGGCCGACCTGACAAGTAGCCGGCATTACAAAATATATACGAAGCAAACCAGCAATGGCTTTTTATGCATAATGATGCCTAAAAAGAGACAGATTGTATTATGACTACTTGAGAGGTCGACCCTGATGGTGCTGCTACATTTATCGGTGCATAGTACAGCCGCTGACCACTTATAACCTAGAAGACGTAGGGTTTTTCTGTCATTTTCAACGTATGGGTTGGGGATGAAATCAACTTGGCACACTATTAGCATGCGGCGATAGTTTGATTTCTCATCTAATTACGGTGCTGAAAAGTTTTTGAGTTTCGCTTTCCGTTTGTCTAGCTCCAAAACTCGACCTATACCGCACTGAGAGCACGAAACAGCGTTGTCTGTGGTTGGTCATGCTTACACAGACGGAAAGCAGACATATCGAATCCATGAAGGTTTGGGTGTATATTTTATGAGCCGTTGGCTGGTACGGAATTATGACGAAATGTCATCAAATAGTTCATTTCACGTTTGCTCGCTATTTCCTGACGTTTAAGCAACACCTGCAGCTAAAAACGAGTTCACAACAAATGTACATCAGCTGGTACTAAGTTAACATCTTGTAGAAAAACATACGAAATATCAAAAAAAAACGACACAATGTCACCGACAAGATACGTAATACCCATGCAGATGTATCAAAAATTTGTCTATGATACTCTTTATCGTTTTTTATACCTTTACAGTCAATTTGAAATAACATGGAGAATTGAATGAAATTCTTACCAACTCTTCCATCGAGCATATGCGAGTAGAAGGATTGACATTAATCATTTAGTCCTCGCTGCCTGACATGTACATACTTAATGAAAACTCTCTTATTTCACTTCTGTTCTACATTCTCTTTGGATTCCATCTTCCTAGTTGTCTTAATACAATTCTGCCGCACTAGTCCAATCATAATAGCAAAGTTCCTCGAACTAATTGTAATGTTTGGTTTATCCAATGTAAGTTACTCAGGGCACATAAATTTGATAGCTCAATTTGTGCGGGAAAACTTTTTATTGACCAATAACGACTGAGGCGGCGCGGTTTTTTAGGAATCAATCGAAAGCGTTTGAATGAACCAAAAAGCTCATCCAATAGGATTTTTGGTTACTTAACATACCTACAAACCGAGAATACACATAAAAAGATCCAATCAAAAGCAAAAAAGTTATGACCAAAAGCCTAGCTAAACTGACACTTTAAAATCACCACAACATGACTGTAGTCGATCGGTAAATTAGTTTTTGAGACATTCTAATTGTTTATCCCAAAACACCTGTATTCCAGACAACATCACCAGGCTGTGAAGTAACATGCTAGGTTAGTTCTTAGAACATTTGATTGCGATATATCCGAATTTTCCTCGCCGATATGAACCACAAACGCTTTCACACGCTAAATTGGTACGTTATTTTTCATAAAAAAATTAAAACATTCTGTCTCTTTGGAAATCGGACAAATAGGTTACGACATTCCAAAAACATATTTCCTTATATACCACTTTAAAACAAGACGACTCAAAGAAACTTTTTTCATCAAGGATTGTTTATACTCCTGTTTAGATATAAATATTTAGTTTTCGCACGGTTAAGGAATTAAAAATAATTTCATACTGAAATGCAAAATGTAATGAGGCAAACAAATCGCAATTGTGGATCGGACTGTCTTAACAGAGTTAGTATACAGGGTGTGCTCAGAATGCTGCCTGTACGGATTTCTCAAATATCTAGGTAACCTAATTATTTTCTTTTTCAAAAAAATGTAATTTGTCGGGTTTTGTTTCGCAAATCTCGATCCATCAAAACTATGAATCCAAAGTGTTGGAAAACAAAGCGGGTACAGAATGCTCAGTATATGTTATTCAAAGTTCCTGCTTTGTATCTCCAGAATTTCCAAGATTACTCTTATTTTTGTAACAGATTTGATGTTCTCATTCACAGTCGTCCAGATTTGTCTCGAACAGAACTAGAAGTTTCGTGTTGTAGTGGAAAGAAAAGGGAACTGCTGATACGTAGGTCGCATGTTAGAAAGTGCTTCTTATTTTTTTACATCCTCTTGATGTGCATCTTCATTTTAATCAAATTGCGTTTTACATGACAGACTATGCATATATTGTAATCGGAAGTTTTACAACTAGAAATTTCCTACAATATTTGTCCTCCCTCCTTGAAAACCAACGAAAGCGAACAAATCTTCGTTTGTGTTGTTCAAATTTCCGATGCTTTGTCAAAGTACCTTGCAGCCGCAAAGTTTATCCATAAAATTTGCTCCGTACGTTTTTGGAGTACACGCTCAAGCTAGTGAACTGATAGTTTTCAATGCCAAATCTACGTTGAATGTTAAGATGAAATGAAAAATGCTCAACATTGATTTGACCGAGCTAAACCTTAAAACCACTATATTTTGAGTAAGTCTAAATAGCTATGATACAGCATTTTCCACAAGCGCGTTTTAAAATCATACAGCTAAGACTTAATTATGGTGTTTTCGAAATAATAATTCGGCCAGCTCAAATAATTTAAGCTTCTTTGAAAATATGTCAGTTTCTTATTCATTGTTTTGTTCCAGGTAAGCTACTAGGACCACTCCGTATGGTATGTTGAACTTATAAATAATGGTAATACCTACTGTTTGACATAAAGAGATCCGGAAAATTTCCACAGTAATTTTACCCTAATGAGGATTGTTTTTCGGAATATTGTTGAGAATGGTATATTCATCAGAACGAAGTGATCAGCAGCGTTACGAAATTAGAGAGTCCGATACTATATAATTTTGAGATTCAGTTTGAAGCCTTCTTGAGGTTGATTGCTCTAGGGTTTTAAGGCTCAACAGTCTCAACTTTTACAAGTAATAATAATATTTTACTTTCGAAATAGCCTAAATAAAAGTAATGTATGAATTTGTCCTATGATATTTTAAAAATTCTCAGAAATCTATAATTTGCTCCTTATAGCTACTTTGCTATGACGAAAAGGCTCTGCAGGTTAAAATCAATGCCTCAGAATGACCTATCACCCGTTAGTTGCTGTTAGGGTCCCTCATTACTACGGCTACCCGCATTACCGAAAATCTATCTATTATATATTCACCTTCTCCAACTAATCAGGACCAGTAAATGTTCACTTTACACGAGGTATTCCCTATATCTAGTCCCTAATTATGCCTCAGAATATAGAATGACTGACGATGTACCACTAATAGCTCCATTTTGATGCTAATTAAATTATTTTTAGTCCCTCTGAACTATTCGATACAGTTTCAGCTCTAACGTCTCCATGTTGATGATCAACATTTTGTGTAATAATAATTAGTAAAGCGTAAAAACATTCAGATACTGACATGTCATGGTCAAGATGATTCATTGAGTTGCGAGATTAGTGTTTTTCGTGTTTTATGTTACAATATGGAACTATGTGACATGCATTCTAACTGACGGTTCTCTGGGATGTATGGACTTGGATCGAGACTGACTTTAAATCCACGAAGATTCTGAATTAGAATCAACCAGCTGGTTAACTATTTGAGGAGCAATCGAATGTGTTATTCGCTTTTCATTTTAAGCCATAAAATCACGGTAAATTTTAGGTTTTCTTGCTTTGAATCCAAAGGGTGTACCAGAATTTACGCAGGATTTAAATAAATTCAAATGAAGAAGCTTTTCCTTTAAATTTTTTCGAATCATACATAACACATGTTTGTAAGGTAAATTGACTCCTTGGCTTTGCTGGCACATACGCGATCTTTTGTCGAAACTTTTAATAACCAGTTTGCATTAATATGGTTGAACTTCGTTAATGCAGCTCTGTACTTCCTTTCCAATGCTCGCGTTTGAGTGGGCTTCTTTCTACCTAAATTCAGCCCAATGCAAAATGATCATGAGAAACTTGGACAAAAAGGTACGTATGAGCCAGCAGAGTCGACAATACCCATATCCTGTTTAATTTATGAATCAATAATGAAAACAACAATCTAAAGAAGAAAAACTAAATTAAATAAATTAAGGTCATCAGAAGGCACCAGACAGTGCAGGTAGGAAAAATTCACCACATCTATCTTTTATTTCTGGCTAATATTCTCATCTTTACAAAACTTTCATTAGTTTTGGCCAGATATGCTACGCTCTATTCGAGAAAAACAATCATATAAAAACTAAAACTTCTATTTAATTCACCACGCTCATACAATTACAAAACAAGGAAATCACAGATGACCGCAACTATCGCATCTATTTTTTATCGGAACCATCGTTTACTTTAACCACTTCAATATTGTTGCTGCTGCTGTCATCGGAATTTGCCGATGCGCCAACATCGATTGACTTGGGAAGGTCTCCGATGTCCGAGGCGGGTGTAGAGGGGGAGTTATCTGAGTCAACTGATCCTGTTGCTTCCACTGATCCCACGGATCCTACTGATGCCCTTGCTTCCGACGATGTTACGGAAACTGTGTCGCCTTCATGGTGTAGACCGCTATCTGTAAGAGCATTTATGTCATTTATTTTGTACACAAATAAAAATATTTTGAAGCCATTAGAAATCCTTAAAAAAATAACGTTTCCAGTATTTTTAATACTTATACAATAAACTAAGAGCAATAGTAGATCCACCAGTGATCATTGCGTCACATCCTGATGTAAATGTAACCTTTTAATGTAGAATTTCATGACAGGTAAAGTTGAAGGCCTTTGCATTGATTGGAGCACAACATGCCTGCGTCCTTGTTCACTAAAAATATTTAGCTATCATTCTCGAAAAGGTATGAGTAGTTGAGTTTTCTTCTCGATATCCTAATTATGATCCAATACATAAATTATTTTACTCAACATATGAACAAACCTTAGTATTTAAAATGAATTCTGATACAGTAGAACCCCGCTAATCGATCACCTACGGGACCAAGAGTATGGTCGGAGCACTAAAAAGCTCGGATTATCAGAGGAGAACATTTATTGACATAAAAACTTGATAATACTATAGTTTAAACTAAAAAAATGCATTAAGAGATTATCGCAAGATTATTATCACTGAATTTAATTATCTTGCGTCGGTCTAAAGAAGTCCGTAATGTCGTTTTGCTTGGCAGACGACAATCTCGACTTCGCAGCAATATTCCTCGATTTCCGGATCCTCAAAATGTCTATTGGGCTAGACACGGGACTTTGTTCACTGTACTGAAAGGCCACATCAAACGCATTTTTCGCTTCTGTATGTGATAGTCGTGTTGTGGGTTTGACATCTTCATCATCAACATCATCTTTCTCTTGGTCATCTGCTTGCATTAAAGTTCCAATAATCTGTTCATCAGTGAATACTTCTTATGTTGTCCAGTCGACATCCGCTGTTGCGACCCACTCGCTGTCGTCACGGGCTTCAATTTCCGGTTGTAAAGTTTGTAAATCCCTCAACATTGTCGGTGTGTCTAAGGGCCATATCGTCAGTCGTCCCTACAATTGTAGGTTGCCCTTATGGCCTGCTTGATTTTGATAGCCTTTTCTCTCCTTCGTAAAGGCTAGATTTCTACTGGTCCGTGTAAGCTTCAGCTCTTCTTTTTCTGAGGTTAGACTCTCTTTTTGAATTAGTAAATTTCAGGCTGATACAACAGAAGATATAAAGCAAAAGCATAAACAATTTGGGGCAAATATATATTTGTAGGAAGCCATAAAGGCAGCCTACAATTCTAGGAGCGACTGACGATACGGCCCTAAATCTTGTTCCTCGTCACTTATTACTGCCGTCGTTATTTGTTGGTTACCACCACTTTTATCTGGTACTGCTTCTGTTTCACTTTGTACCTTTTTCATTTGTGGCGTCATCGACAGGATTCGACTTAAACGATTTGAATAAAGCGATGTACATACTGGAAATGTAAACAAACATTGATTAGCGACGGCATGGTCGGATTAAGCGAGGAGGCGAATTACCCGAGGGCGGATTAGCGGGGTTCTACTGTAATACTATTGTGACACTGTCGATGTTTTGTGTATGGCTTGAAGCTAAAATTGAAAAATTGTTAACCGATTGCTGACTCTTTTGTTTCGTAAGTGGCATAATCAAAATATGTTTTAGTATGTATCTTAGGATGGTAGATCTCCACCTGCTTTAATTGTTTTAGTTATTGCACCGTTATCTTTAGCATCGTTAATCTCTCGTAACTGGAAGGTTTAAAGTGTTTAAAATATCAGTTGAATGCATTCTTCAAATGACAGCAGTTAAACACCTTATGTTTCTTATCTGGAGTTAGTACTTTGTCAATACTGTCTGGTTTGACTGGTCCAAGTAGTCGATTTTATTGTGGCAATACCTGCTGTTGCTCCTGCAAAGTTGAATCCACTTCCAACAAATCCAGAAGTAAATCCGCTTGGGTCAGAAGAGAAAGTCCCAGTGGTTCCCAGTGGAGCATAATTTATTGCACTAAAATCACTGATGGCTCCACTTGCTCCAAAGTTGGTGGCTCCTCCAAGGTTGTGGAAGCTGCCAGCGCTACCACCGAATGCTCCGGATCCAAATCCAGTGTTTCCTCCAAAGCTATGGAATGCGGCTCCACTGGTCAGAGGGATGTCACAACCGATTCCTAAAAATGGGAGCATAAATGATGAGCCTTAAAAAGCTTTGTGATAATAATCATATGAAGCATAATTTAATTGATACAAAACATTCTTTTAAAAAACATGAAACCACTGGTTCTGGGCTTATTTCGCGATGGTAGGTATTTGACAACACTTGTCTAAATTATCTAAATTGTTATCCAAGTATCGGAAAGAAATAGCGATAGTTCGTTCATTAGAAATTTGCATCAACTTTTTCATGCTTTTGATTTATATGATATGTTTTATCTGCCAGAAATTTCCTACAAGTCAAAAAGAAAACATAACTTTACAATAGGAGAGCGCTTACGCTGACACAGAATAGAATTCTAGAAATATCCCAGCCTTTCTGAAGGAGAGAAAAGACTATGAATATCAAGCAGCCCATAAAGGCGTCATACAATAATTGTAGGAACCACTGACGATAGCTTAGAACTCAAAGGGCTTATGAAACGTATAGTTACCTCCGAGAGTTGCTGTGTTGAGTCCATAACCAGTTCCAGCTAACCCTAAGTTTGCCGTGTTCAATCCAAAGTTAGAGCTAGCCAACCCAGCAGATGCTGTATTCAGACCATAGTTGGCAGCATCGAATCTGTAGTTACTTAAACCCGCATCACCAGTGTTGATGTACTGAGCTTCCTTAATCAAGACTGGGTGTGGCACTCTAATGTGGACAGGAGTTGGTACTTCTACAGGGTAGGGCTTTGGGACTGGTACTTTAACTTCTACAGCTTGTTTCACGAATACTGGCTTTTCTACTTCTACCTTCACTTGTTTAGTGTGGTATACGGGGTAGGGCTTCGGTACATCGACAGGTACCCTGAAATTATGTGTAAATAGACACTGTAGGTTTTATTGATTTAAAAGCGTAGAAATTCTACGTAAAACTTTTTGACATGACGATAAGGCCCAGGGCTGCGTTCGTAAATTGTGAATTGTAGTGTACTTTGTGCTGGAACAATTTCAGCGTTCGAATTGTTTGACGTATCTGTTCCACGCGTTCAGAAATAGAACAAAGTAAACCTTCTGGAACGCCAGTGCGATTTTTCCCGTGTTCAAAATCTTGAGAATAAGAGTGTTGCCACTTTCTTGTCATTCTTATGGTTGTATGGTAAGGGCTTAAAATTGGCAGAATGTTATATTTTTCACAATAAATCGGCTACAACATGTCCATAGTGTTTCTTGCAATGAAAAAAGGTTGCAGTAAGCGTGGTTAGAAATGTGTGAGCTGTCATCAAATGCCATTACATGCCTCGGTAATAATTTAGGCGTTCTCAAACACGCAGTATTCCAGAGTAAAATTTCATCTGTCAATCTACATTCCATTACTGTGTAGTGTAGTCTTACATTGCCAAATGATTTACACACGAACTCCAGAAATCCAAGTCCAGTTTAACTGTGATCTGTTATTTAACGAAAAGTAAGCTCTCAAAACGTTCTTGTCATTGCCCGGTTTGTTGTAAAACGGTAATTAACTTTAACGAGAAGACCATCTACTGGTTAACCAGAAAGTTATGATGCCTGACTTTTTTGTCTGACAGTGACAAGGGTCGCGGATGACACGACAAACTTCGAGCATAATAAAATGCACCAAACACGGTAACGGCTAACCAGCGACTGAACAAACGGGCCGGGTTACTTTCAGTAAGGATTCATGTGCACCTTCAATCAATCATCATCATGTCCAAAGTACAAGTTCAGGAGATCTTCAAGGAGAGCGTGTTCCTTGTTAGGAGTTAGGACATTACACACACGCAGTGTGGAATTTGCCACAACTCAGGGTATTGACAAACGGCCAGATTTGAAATTTGATAATGACTATTGCTTCGCAATGTACTAAAAATCGCTAATACAAACTCACTCTCAGGTATTTCCAAGGCTTTCTTTTTATTACGTTGTCATTCGCGGCGTTTATCTCAATTTTCCTAAATTTCTCAATTAGTTTATGGTGCTTCACGTTTGATTTCTCTCATGAGAGAATTTTTCAGTGAACTTGCCATAGGCACGGCTCGTTTCCATGAACTTTAACAATATGCTCCAAATGCCGTGAGATTTCTTGGGAAAAACACCAAATATAAGCATCATTATTTCTGTGCAATCTGTGACTTATAGGTAAAACAATGTGTTCTTCAATCTGGATCAAACCTCAAAGACTCTTGTATCTCTGCGTCAATTAGTTCGTCTTGCTTTTTCTATAAGAGCGAAGTCCAATTTTCCGGCCGCAGCCAAAACCGATATTCGTGTTTTATTAGAACCTTCGAACAAAGCCCAGTTTTTGATTAATAAATAAATAGAAGTTTAAAAAAATTAAAAACACGCTTTTACTACTAAATGAACTAAAAAGTAGAAAACAATTTTTAATTACAAAGAGTTTATATTACAGTAGTAGATCGTCGAACGATCAATCATAATTAATGACCTCAAAATAAAATTATAATATAACTCAAGTTATTAACAGAATAATTCAATTCAGAGTAAAAAGCGTGGGGTGATTGATATATTAAATGTTAAAATCATTCTATCGGCAACTATCTATGAGAGAAGAATTATGAAAATGTATTAAAATGCACCCCATACTTTTTACTCTGAATTGAATTATTCTCTTAATAACTTAAATTCTATTATAATTTTATTTTGAGGTCTTTAGTTACGATTGATTGTTCGACCATACACTACTGTAATATAAACCCTTTGTAATTAAAAATTATTCTCTACTTTTTAGTTCGATTAGCTATAAAGGTGTGTTTATTTAGTTTTTTAAACTATTATTTATTTTTCATTTTTACTTCGATTTATCAATTAGTTTTTTGTGGACATGTGGTATTGAAATGTCTTACGAATCATTTCGTAATCTAATCATTCCACTTAAAGCTTCACTGTTGCATGGGGCTTTTTATGTTAACTTAGGGTAATCAATTTCTTCAATCGGAATACCGACTAAAAAATAAAAAAAAAAGATATACCACAATCTGCTCCTGTGAGGATTCATCTCACAACCCCTGGTTTACAAGACCAGTGCTGTGACACTGAGCTACAGAGGCTTGTAGTTTTACTATTCGTAAAACGGCATTTAAAATCCGTGGCTTTTTATTAAAATATCTGCTTTTTGCAGAATTTTACTTATCAGGATAATAGAAAACTGTTATCAATATTGCATTGTCATCGGTCCTTGATACGTGTGCGAAGTTTCATATTAATCAAACTTCTGGAAATTGGTGAAAATGATGCTCAAAGATTCCGTTACAAAGATACATACAGGCAAAGCTAATAAAAGCGTGTTAATGAAAAATGTGGGTTGTGGTAAGTACATACCAACACCACATAGTAGACTACTTTTGCTATCTCTCTATATTTGCCCTGCAGGAACATGCATCAGACAAAACATATCCACTGGTATTAAATTGAATCTAAAAGATGTTCAGAGTACTTTATCGGTTACAAAAAAAGACTAAAAGGTCATTCTCGTACATGTTGATGTTCCTTACCACCTTCTTAAAAATGTTTCAATTGTTCCTAAATACGCTAACCAAGATTCTGTGCATTTCACTCCAAGAATACGCAAAATGAATACAGATTTTCCGAAATCTGCGACTTTCCGCCTTTTTTGGTCACTTTGAAAGATGGTTCTACGTACTTAACTGGTTGAGCAACAGGCACAGGTTGTGGAACCTTAACTGCGTACGGCTTTGGTACGTCCACTGGTACTGAAACTTTGACTGGTACTGGGTAAGGTTGAGGAACGTCAACCTTTACTGGGTGTGGCACACTCACAGTTCTGGTGATCGGTACAGGAACTGGATGTGGTATGGAGACAGGAACATGTTGGTTTACTTGTCGGTATTGATGAGTCTCCTTAACAGCACCTGCAATATACAAGAAATATTAGAAGTTTCGCCTTTTTTGAACAAAATTTTTGAGATAGTAACGTACGAGACACAGACTTTATAAGTGCGGTTTCGAAGTTATGGTATGCTGAATTTACAACGGTGATGGATTTTTACTTATCTATCGCAGAAAGTTTTATCTGAATGAGTAAGCTTGTACTTAAAGCTTTTAGACACTGGGTTGCTCTAATGAATCTTATTCGAACATTCTTAAATATCTCCGTCTAAAGTAACCGGAGAAATATGGCATTTAACGAAAAGGACGTCCGTAATCCGATATCATTTTTTCGTAGGTATTGGCTTTTAAAGTTGCGAGATAGGTGATATAACATTGTAGAACATTAATAATAATAATTATAATAATAATAATATTTATTGATCCTCAAACTATACACTATACTCAAAAAATATTTGCAACAATACGAATAAATGAAAACCCCGATGAAGGATGACCCTTGTGCGCGGGTAAAAAAGTATTACAAAACATATACTAATATCAATCCAATGCAATATGTTTTTTTTACTCTAGTATCTCCATTCGGGTGTAAGTTATATTCGTGAATATTGTCTAATATAGTTTTTTGTTTTCTTTGGCATTTCATTTATTTTTCAGATCAATAATTTCGTCTGTATGACACCCTGGTAAAGTCATCAATTTTTTTTACTTTCTTTTAAAATAGTCCAGGTGAGTTTATTTGTTGTAATTCTTCAAACAAAGCTATACGACCTTTCTAATACATTTTTTCCTAGTTTTGAGACTCGTACAATATTCTTTTTCCGTATGTCATAATTATGCTTCGCTGTTCTCATGTTGTTTCTGTCAGTATGAGCGTTTACCAGTATGGTGTATAAGTATAGTTGACGAGCATAAAAAATATGTAATCCTTGGAACAATAACTCTATTGGATATAGGGCTTCTTAAACATCGTCTTGTTAATGCTTTTTGGATAATTTCCAAGTTCCGAACAAATGTGATATTTGCAGCTCCCCAGGCAGTTTGTTCGTACAGTGGTCGGTGACTTGTCGGTCACAATGTTTGGAATCCGGCCTTGTAAATTCTGTCTATATTGTGTAGCAGAATGAACGGAATTTGTGTGCCGGGACCTTGGACACGATCACTGACAGCTTGACGACAGCTGTTCGAACAGGGATAATACCGTAGCAGAGACACTGGCGGATTTAGAGGTGGCGCGGGGGGCGCCCCCCCCCCCTAGACGTCTGACATTTGCTTTTGCAATCTAACACCATTGTATTACTGTCTGTCCTGGCTATATCTATTGATATTTTTATCACCTGCTGCTATAATAGACGTGCTTGATTGTGTCAGTATTTGCATCATTTACTTGATTTGTTTAATGGGCAGTTCAGAGTCGTAATCCTTAAGCTTATTACATACTAGTAGACCACGTTGCGCAATTTGTCTATTGGCAGTCTAGAGACGGTCTCAAGACACGATCTATAGATCTACAGACATCCTTCTTTGTCTTGTCTAGCGTCCATATGATAATGTGAATTTTTTGGTATCATGTTAGTTTTCGCAGTCAAAGACATTGTTTTGTGTGGAATGGACTAGAATATGTCTCGGGGTCCCCTTAGAATGTTTTATTTATTGTTTTGTCGGTTAACAGAGCAATGAAGTTTTTAATGTTTGAATCTTTAATATTATTATACTAGTTAATTATAAATGCCACGTACTTATTTTGTTCTCATATAATAAAATATTGGCTTTCTGAGGATTTCTGAGCAATTTACATGTTTTTTTTTCAAGCTAGCCTTGACCAGATAGAACACAATGGATTTAAGGAGCAATAATAGGATAAATTCTAGAAGTTCTACTGACGTTAAAAAATGACCAGCCTCAAATATCGTTTGCGCCCCCCCCCCCTAGACGAAATCCTGGATCCGCCCTTGAGCTGAGATGAGTTTTAGTTAGGCCATAATATAAGTTACAGAGCTGTGGAATACCCAACAATTTACTGAGATATCTGATATTGTATAGTACTGTGCGCAACTTTCCTATCATATTGTGGGCGTTCCATCTGAGATAAGCGTCGACATATATTCCAAGATACTTTATTCTTTGCACCGATAGAATATCACGTTTGATGTTATTCGCTGTTAGTTGTTGCTGTAAGAACACATTGAAAAATAACGTTAGCTTATTAATATATTTTAAGTATGGGAGAGTTACTTGATTTCTCACACTAACCTCCGCCAACTGATCCCAAGCCAAGACCATATGAACCACTATGACCCAATCCTAGAGATTCAGCATTGTAAAAGTGAGCATTTCCTGTTCCAAGACCAGCTCCATATTCATATCCAGTGGAAAGACCAGCCGTTCCCAAATGGGAGGCAGATCCAAAGCTTGTTCCTATTGATGAATCTACTGAGCTGTAGGGTAATGAGGCATACGAGCTGCAATAGATTACGAAGGGTAATAAGTTCAGGGTGTTTGCAAAAAAATTGTATTCCTTAGATTATTCTAGGGATTTTTTTACCTTCCATGCCTCAGGCGAGAAGGTATTGTAATCGCAAACATTTTCGAAAATTAGATGTTATGTTTCGAAAAGCATTATAGTTTTTCAAAATCGATCCAGTAATGGCACACTTAAAGGCAATAAACGGAATAACAATAAATCGCCCAAGCTTAGATTTTTGATATTTCAGAGGCTCTTGATCATTTTCAGACAAAATATTTGTAAGGGTTAAAGCTGGATGTGAGGCTGTAGGGGGTGTGGGAGAGGATATCTCCATTTTTTGGCGGTAGAATATTTATACGCTTCCGACATCGGTAATTCTAAGCACCGCGCGGGAAGACAATACAACCTCAAGGTAAAATCTAGTGCTTATTTCTCTTGTAAAATAAATAACTATCGTTCGCTATAGAAAATACTTACCCCAATCCCGAGCCATAACCACCACTGGTAACTAAACCAGCTCCATGATGACTCAGCAGCCCATTGCTGGAGGAGTACGATATTGCGGGAGATGCCTGGTTTACACCAAGGCTTCCACCGAAGCCAAGGCTCTTATAGCCCACACCATTTAGTCCATAGCTTGAGCTGAGGCCGCCGTCAATTAGGCCTGATGCTCCAAACGAATTAGCCGAGTTCCAGTCGTACCCATGGCCTGAGTTAAAGATGTGATCGGAACTCAAGGTTATGCTTCTCTTGTCGTTTGGTTTCTTGGTTTTAGGCTGTTCGCTGACAGTAGAGGCAATAAGGCCGAGGAGGCACGCCCACTGCAACAAGTAAAATCACGATTGATTGAGTATACAACCAAATGTGCCACAAATATTCTGAATAAATCGTTTGGGAGATTTTTGTTACGCACAACTCATGAAGTGAAGTGAGGCGTGTCTAAGAAAAACGCATTCTAGGACCTGCGGCTATGGAGACCTTGTTTCTTATTTTTATTTAGTTTCAGGCCCAGAAATACTAAACTACATTTTTCAATAATCCTGCTTAAAAATATTACAAGCGATAAGAGAATAATCGTTGTTATAGTTATAATTATTATACTCAAACTTAGTTCTTAGGTATCTTAGAGGTTAATGATTTAAGGACGGTGAAGCACATCAAACATATTTGATAATACTCACTTCTGGGAACTACTATACTTTGGTTCCTCATAGATTTTGATTTTTTTGTTTATAATCCACTAGATATCCGGAGTTAAGCTCATGCTTGGCAAGTCCCAAATCAAACTCTTCATTAAATTTTTCTTTGTTACATATTCAATAAGAATTCATTTGCGCGTCAATGTATTATTCAAATTATATATTTTTGCAAATATATTTAGTTCCTGGACATTTTTGCATAATAGAAAAAGCTATAACTACAATAGATAATCTTTAGAGTACCCAGTTCAAAATGTGTGTGCCACTACGGAGCTGGATATCAAAGTTCTCTTTTATTGCTTCGTATTACTGTTATGTTATTTGATCAGTTTTTTGCTTAAATACGTCATATACACACTTAGCTAGGTTACAACTTACAAAGAGTGGGATTTAAAGTGTAAAAATATATAATGAACGCGTGTGAGATTTTTTTACATCTATTCAAATTCAGGAATGAGTAAACTAAGTAACAAGCGAAGACTGTATATCTTACAGAATATCTAGTACCATGGTTATTAAATAGGACGAGAAACTGGTTGCCTACTTCAAGACAAAATACGTAATTATTATCTCAACAACTACTCAACAAAACAGAAGTATTTGGCTTATCCAGATTTGCAATAAAAGTATAAATCTATCTATAATTCCGAATATTTTAGAAATGTATTCCCTCAGTATAAAAGCTATATGTATATCTTGTACCAAACTTGCAACAATAGGGTAGATACCGTCCTACCCAAGATGGAGATTCTGCATCTCGGAAGCTACTCGTGAAAAAAGTTTGGACCCATGGATAATTTTGTTTTACGTGTTGAGATCTACAACATATTGAAACTCTGAAAAAACTAACCGAAAGCTTTTCGTCAAGTTCTTGGTGTCTGTCTGTGTACTTCTAAATAGGGTGATATTAATTCATAGAAAGCACATTTCGATTATAATTAACTATTTAGTGTTTCCAGAGCTATTTTGTGCCAAGGCTAATTGCAAATTTCTGCCGACTGCACTTTTTTGCAAAATCAAAAGCACTCAAATTTAAATAATTTGGTAATAAGGATTCCTCAAATGATATAATGAGAAATTCTCCATAATAGACAAATGATTTAGATGTCATTAAGTATAATTAATAGACCTGAAAAAACATCCAGCGCTCATCAACATTATAGCTCGCTATTAATCCTAAGAGGAGACGATTTGTGCGAAAGTAAAAGTTCGGATAATATGCAAATCAGAACAACCAAAGCGGCCATAATTTATGGATTTAATCGAAAAGAGGTATATGGAAATGACCCTAACATAAAACGCCGGTTTCACTGGT